AATCCTGGAAAAAGTTTTAATAAAGCGAGTACTAGAGAATAATGGTTCCGAAAACAGAAGACAGTTGGTCATTCCAAAGACTAGAGTAGCAGAAGTACTTCGTCAGTTACCCGACAATCCATCAGGAGGTCTTAAGAAAACCATTCAGAAAATTCGTGAAAGGTTTTATTGTATATACAGTTCCAATGGTATAAAGGACTGGTGTAAGAAATGTACCACCTATGCTATGAGTAATGGACCCCAACGAAAAAGGAAGGCCACAATGAAGCAGTACAATGTTGGTAGCCTATTTGAGAGGATTGATTGCCTTAGGTATTGCTGGACCATTCTCCATGACCGAGAATGGTAATAAATATATGATGGTGGTCATGGATTATTTCACGAAGTGGGTGGAAGTCTGCGCCATTCCAAATCAAGAGGCCGCAACTGTGGCAGATGTGTTAATAAAATAATTCATCAGTAGATTTGGAGTGCCTTTGGAGAGGAAGTTGTGAGAGACTAAGTACGAAGATAACCAAAACTATATAATTGCACACCCACTAACTATACCCCAGTTTAATAAGGGAATTCGGACAGTTATTCTTTCTAATATACCTATTACATATTAATATTGGTTGGGATTAATTCGGCTATTGTAGTGGATTACGACGATTACGTTAAAACCAAAGCTGTTCAACAACAAAAACAACAACAATAATAACAGCAACAACAACAATAACAACAACAACAACAACAACAACAAGAACAACAACAACGACAGCAGCAACAACAACAACGATGAATAGTATTAAAAACATACAGAATTCAAAATTGACATCAAATCAATAACTAGTGTTCATAAATTTTTTATGCGAGGTTTTCAACTCTACCAGATTAGAAAAAGTTTTTATACATCATGACATAAATACTGATGTTTTTCGTGTCTCATTAATAAAATAAACTTATTGAATTTATAATTTATTGGTAACCAATGAACGTTAGTTTTTTTTTTATTAAACTTGACAAGGTTGCCTAGAAGATCAAATTAAGCTACCAAAATAGTAAAAATTACTAAAAATGTACCGAAATTCTTTATGCCAAAATGGTTTAAAAACTGGGTCAGAATATTTTTGTTCTAAAATTAACGTGGTTGTGTTGACCTTTTAGTTGGACCGCTGTTTAATATTTTAAACTTTAATTATCACGTAAACAATAGGTGTACCATCGTTATCTGTGAGCATATTAAAGAACCATGGAGGTAATAGGCGCAACCTTAAATATTCTTAATAGCAAACGCATCGTGCCTCGATTTAATTATGGCGGCTCGTTAGGCAGAGGGTAGATCAACAGAGGATGCAATTTTTAAATTAATATCCGAAATATATTCACATATAGATAAAAAAATACCCTCGTTATGTATATTTTTTGATCTGTCCAAAGCCTTCGATACTGTTTGTCATGAGTTGTTGTTGAAAAAACTTGAATCATATGGTATTAGGGGCAATATGCACAATTTAATCAAAAGTTACTTATCAGGGCGCACACAACAAGTTAAAGTAGATGATGTTGTAAGTGAAATTAGAGAAGTAACCTTCGGTGTTCCGCAAGGAACAGTCTTAGGTCCATTATTGTTTAGTTTGTATATTAATTCACTTTTAAAAATGAAAACAGACGGCACTGTTATTAGCTTTACAGATGACACAGCCATCCTTTACAAGGGAAAAAACTTGGGATTCACTAAAAACCACAGCTGAATTAGAAATGCAAACAATAATGAAATGGTTTCAATATAACAAACTTACTCTTAATATTGAAAAAACTAAATACTTACCCTTTTGTTCATACGTAAGTAGCCTACCCAATCTTGGTCCGCTAAAAGTAAGCGATTCATCTTCCATTCCCGAACAGCCTACAATTAAATAGGTATTTGGGAGTTATTTTAGACCGTCACCTAAGATGGAATTATCATATTGACCATGTTGTACAAAAAATTAGGGGTTTTCTGTCACGATTTAAATTTTTATCGAATTATTTAGACATCAGGCATCTTCGAACAATTTATTTTTCACTAATCCAATCACAAATAACCTACGGTATAATTGGATGGGGTAGTACCAATCAATGTTACCTAAAAAATATTAACGTTATACAAAAATGGATTATAAAATTAATGTATAAAAAAAATAAAACTTACCCAAGTGATAAATTGTACAAAGAGAGCAAAATTCTTGATTCTAGACAACTATATGCATTACGACTTTTGTTAAACATCTATAAACGTAGGCCAGAATTGCAAACACAAACACATCAATACGAAACTCGAACAAATCTATACTTAATACCAAAATGTGAAAAAACCATGGGTCAACGCAGTCCCATGTATATAAGCACAAAATTACTTAACTGCCTACCTGAACACATAAGAAACTCAGCTTCGTACTATATTTACAAGAAAAATGTGAAATATTGGATACAAAGTACAGGTGCAACATTTTTTCAAAATATAATGAATCCATGATGTTCATATATAAAACTTAGGTATACGTAGTTATTCCTAAAATTATTATTATTGTGATACTAATTAATCTCGATTGTGTACAAAATATTTTAACAGTTTTAACAGATTTTAACCATTATTTTGTTTAAGATTGTGTGGAAAATAAATATAAATATAAAAAAAATATTTTAACAGACTGCAAATTTTTATCTAGCCAGTTTTAATAAATTTTATTTTTTATTATCTTTATGATTCATTGTAGTTATAGTTATTACATTAGTATTATTATTGTTATTATTTATTATTATTATTAATTATTATTATGCTTCCCCGCACACAAACACCATCGTGTCTCAGCGGATCTATGAATGTTTATTTATTATAAATTAAAACATCTACTACAATTAAAAAACCTATTTAGTAAAATAATACTTTTTTATAATCGAATTAAATTACGGGTTTTGAGCTTACATTAAATTGTAATTAGATGAAACAAAATGGATTCTATGTATTTTGAGGTGACCTTTTCGAAAAAAGGCAAAACAAAATGTAGCAGTTTTTCGAAAGTGCCGAAATTTTGGATTTTGTCAATTTTTCAATTTTGCGCAGGCGCATGTCGGAAATAAATCAATATTTTTAAAACGCAGTTTACGACATTTGAAAGCTTAGGAAAAATGCTAATTTTTATGTCTCTTGAGAAATTTTGATGCGATGCACCGTTCTCGCGGTATGGACGATTGAAATTTGTTTAGTATTTTGAGTCGACGAAGGTCGAAAAATTTAATTTGTTAAATGTTCAAACACTAAATTCTTTATAACATTGGTAAAAATTAAGATATTTGAAAAAACAAAAATGCGTTTTGAACTTAAGGGATGTGACTAGTGATTCGCAGAAGGGAGCAAGAGAAATCCCAAAATTGGGCATATGGCGGAAGGGCAAAATGCATCGCGGTCCTAATTTCATTGTTTGCCTATAACGGCCAAACTATTTGAATTTTAATGCCACTTACAAAGCTTACTCTTAAATGTGAAATCTTATGTGTGTGTGAATTTCACCGACATCGGACCATAATTGGCTAAGATATCAAACAATTAAATAATTAAAAAAAAAAAAAAAAAAAATAATTTTTTTTTTGAAAGTTTGAAGTGGCACAAAAATGCACCCAATGGCTCAAAACTTTTTTTTTGAGTACTCTATTGTGTCTAGAATACGATTACATTACGGAAAATTCTGCAAATATATTTTATCTATTTTTTTGACCACTGTTCATTGAGTGACGACCAAAAAACACGGTTTTTGAAAAAAATTGCCTAAAATTGACAATTTTTAGTTTTTTTGTCTGAAAATTAAACAAACCCAAATTTCTTGTCTTCTAAATGTGTATACAAAGTTTAAAGTGTGTATGTTTCTTCGAAGTTGTAGAATTCTCCCGACAAAAGTCCCATTACACGCGCTCCGCGGGATCCAAAACTCGTGTATACACTACATTACTGTAATTTGATTTTTTTGCGATTTCCAATTTTAAATTTCTTGCATATCTAAATTTATTAGGCTTAAAATTTATTAAATTGTATTTTACTGACTTGTTATAAGACGTTTCTTGAGTTTTGTGCAAAATATAGAATTACCAGATATTAGCGAACAAAATGCAAGCTTATCACCAAGTTGGAACTTACACTCAGGCTTAGGATTAATTTCCTAACATTTTTAAAATATACCTTTTTGTGTATTTTTTGTGCTTTTTTCGATGGCGAAGTTAGTTTTTTCAAATATATTTATTTTGTTAGATGTTTTCGGATAACCCGGAAAAAATCACATGGGAAAAAATTTTAAAAAAACTACGCCTCTGGTTTCCTGCGAATTCCCGAAAAATTATGTCAGATTTCGCCGCGGGACTTATTTTATTTGAGAGCCAACAAAAAAATACGCAACTTCTCTCATGGGCACATATGTCTAACATTTATAATTTCGCCACAAATTCATCGCAAATTTCATGTCCATGGTTCTGATCAAAAAAACGAAAAAACGACTTTTTGGTAAAAGCACTTCTGGCGGCGAGAAATTCGCCATTAAAACTACCTTTGCAATGAATTTCCGAACTATTTTTGCCTCCTCTTTCGAATGGTGCATTTATTTTCACTATCGGAATGATACTTGCCCAGATAATTAGCATTTTTACAATGGAAACTTCCGGAAAACCCGGTTTTTCCTAATTTAAAAAAAAAATGAAAAACTGCTACATCTTTTTTTTCTTTTTTTTTTGGAAAGATCACATCAAAATACACAAGATCCTTTTTGTTTCATCCAATTACAAATTAATGTAAGCTCGAAGGGGCTTTTTTTCGTTATTTAATTGGACTATTATTGTAAATCGACCTATATATTGTATCAAGATGTCATTTATCCTCCAGATAACTAAAGTAGTAATGAATGTGAGTGGTTTATTACTACTTTATAAAATGTTAGGAAGGCTTAGTATACGTATACAATTTACTACCAATTCTAATATAATTGTTTTTACAGGCACTTTCGATCAGAGCTACATCCCGCACGCCATAGCCTACAGCGCGTGCCTCGGAGAACATCGGCTGCGTTGCCAAGGCCTCGATAATTATACGGGCGCCCCCTTAGTGCCTCACAGCGGCAACTGCGCTCAGCAAGAAATCACCAGCGTGGCTCATTCCGGTCAACCGATCGTCATAGCCAGCAGTGTAATGTCTGATGACGGACTATTGAGGGTGAAATCTTCAAGCGATGCTGTGGTACTAGAAATGTTCGAGTTGACAGTTGTGGTGACGATAGTGGGGGTAATTGGTGCTGTTATTACGTAAGGATTGTATGAATGGGTTAAAGGGGTGTGATACTTAAACGAATTTATTGTTAAAATGGAAGAGGTTGAGTTGATTTTGATGGAAGAAGTCAGTAGAAAAAAGTGTGGATCAAATTAAGTTCTATCAATTACGAAGCACACAATGGACAGAAAAAGTCTTTGATCACACTGTATTTACATTGAACTTCTATTCAAACTTATTGGTACTAAAGTAACATAAGAAATGGTTTTTAAAATTGACTATTGAAATCAAACAGATATGCGTTAAATCAAAAGTCAAAAATGTAAATAAAAAAATTTCTTATATACAGGGCGTTTATTAATTTGACTGTCTGATATCTGAGTAGGTACTGTGTAGTGATTCTTTTAAATATCGCCTTGTATTTATGTAAAAAATGTATAGTGTAAATAACTGTATTGTCTTGAAGACCAAAAAAACTATATAATTTAAAAATTTTAACATTTTTAGTTACATATATCAGCAACTCTTTGTATTAAAATAACCAATTCACTGAAAATTATTTTAAAAAATGCACATTGTTGCTTCTTAATTTTTATATAAAAGTCATCCAAACATGTAAATCATAAAATTTTTAATGTGTAATACTGATTTTTAAAATCTTATTGTGATTTTGGTGTGAAGCACAAAAACTGTTTCTAAATATTACGACTTAGTGGGTATACCATTTCTTTTGACAAACAGGTGCCTTTGTTTTTCCAAAAATAAATTGTGGAGAAAAACATAGACTAGCGAAAATTAATAAGCTTTCATTTAGATTTGACTACATCACTAAATTAAAAGCTTAAATAAAAAATCAAAAATTTCATTGAAATATTTATTAACATTATTTGATTATAACTTTTAAGTAGATTTTAGACATATTCTGAATACTGACAACACTGTAAATGGGAACGTTAAACCTTGTTATTGACTTTGGTTTTTTACCAGAAAACTTTGGTATTGACAGTGTTGTAGGTTTTCAGCGTATGTCTAAAAATTTTTAATAAAATTTTGGATTTTTCCATTACCAAATCATGTCTTAAAAACTGCTAAAAATTGTATTTTGGGCAAAAATTGTCTCCGCAAAGCTAGTTTGGTTTAAAAAAATAAAAAACTCTCTCACTACTTTTGACTAAACTACTTTTTAATCAAAGCTATGTATATATCTTATCCCTTCTTATTAAAACATACAACAATGCAACATGAAGAAAGAAAAACAAATTAACTAAAAGGCACCTTGTTTCTCTCTCGTCTCTTTGTTTAATGAAACCTTGAAAGTAATGCAAGTAAAGAGGTAATACATACAGATAGTACAACGGAGACCATTCAGTTGGTCCAAAATACCTGCTACAATCCGTTGTTGAAAAGGGGTCAACATAATACCGTTGTATGAAGATAATATAGTAGGGTAAAACCTTATGGACATATAATTGGAGGACGATGGACATAGAATGTAGATGGTGACACTGTACTTCTATCTAAGTCAGGTCTTTAGGTCATGTCTGTGCTTGAGTATGAAAATTTAAAATCTTCTTTTTCATTTCTCCCTGTCTTCGGGAATGTATTTTTATACTTACAATTTACTATTGCAAATTATTACAAAAGGGTATTTGAAGGTCACATAAAATGCCAAAATAATCAATATAATAAAATAAACCAGTTTTTGTTTGGAAAGATTAAATGAGTTGAGATAAGGTGGAATTTTACTATAAGAGGGAACATTTTTTCTATATTGTGGTTGGATGTTGGATTGATCGCTTATGGTTAATTAAAACTTGAGTTTTACGCTGTTAATTTTTATTCACTTTTATATAATGGTATCAAATTAAGAACAACTGAAGATTATTGTTCAAAATGAGATGAATAGACGAAAAAAAATGCTTTTTTTCTGAACTGTTATCAAAATACTACAAAATTTAGCAGAAAGATTGCATTAATTATATTTTTCATCTTTTTTCCAAAATAAGAAAGAATGTTTTTATCTGTAATTGAATCTGGGTTGGGAAATCCAAAGTTGAATGCTTAACGACTTAAGTCTTGAAGGCACTTATATCGAGTTAATTATCTAATCAAATATGAGACGTGGCTTTTTAAAATACCATTATTGTGCGCTCCACTGCTAGTGTGTCCATCTTCTACAAGAGAAAAAAGAAGGAAACATTTGTAAAATTGCCTTGTACAAATGTGTACCAAAAGAGGGCAACTGGCTCTCGTAAGCCTTTTTCGTTTAATCGTCTCATTATTTGAACACTAAGCGCCAGCATGGGAAATATATGTTAAAGTTAGTTTTAAGAACTTTAAACATTCAAATAAACAAAAACAATTTATAAATCTATTATTAAAATCCGTGTTGGAACAAAACTTAAAATTATTGAATTTAAAAAATAATATTCTAAAAATGGAAAGGATTTCGGTCGAGAGCCTATTGGACTGAATATTCAGTTCAATCAATGACAATTATTAATATTTTAAATATTTTATTTAATTTGCTTGTAAATTTATGTGTAAATATATTTATAAATTACACTGGTTAACTGTGATTTTGTGGACGGGGTTTTAAGAGCATTTTTGGACGAACGTTTTACCGATTTCAAATCGTTTCTCCGGTCTATAAATCTTCAATTGTTTCAAAAAGAATAAAATAAAAAATAAAGTAGTTCTGCCTAAAACTAAAATAAATTTGCTATCTCGAAGTCCCCATCGATTATTTCCAAACTTTTTCTTAACGTCTTAGCTGTAAGTTTCATATTACATTTTTTTTAAATTGCTATTTCTGTGGAATCATTAATTTCCACTTGCGTCATTGTTCTGAAAAAGCAAAATGTAACTCACGTTTTGCTTGATTGGCTTTAGTTTTTGAGATAGTCAACCAGTCGAAATAAAAAAATGCAAATAATAAGATATTAATTTATTTATTTAATCAGTTTTGTCTGAGCTAGCTAAAAGACTGTATTCTATAAACAATGAAAAATACTGATTATTGTTTTGAACTACTTAAAACATTTTCACTCGAACACCGTGCGTGATTCAATTTAAAAATACTTTCCAGAATAAAACCTCGTGTTCCGGTTTTGACTTTGTTTATTACTAAACAGCGAAGTTATATACAGAAACGTTAATCCACAATCTAAATCAGATACTATCACAAGAAAATCACTATGTTACAATTAATTACTTAACCAAAAACTAGAGTATTTATTAATAAATTTAAATGGGGGGAGAGAGCAACCTTACTACTAAAACAATTAAAACGAAAGAGAGCGTACTTAAGGTATGTAACCAGAAAGTGGCTGTAACATTTATCCTAATATTTATTTTATCTCTCCCTACTTAATGGTAAAACTTAAAAGCAATAACAAATTGCCTATCTACTAGGGTCGGTTACCAAACGTATAAACAAAATGGGCAGATTTTGTTCATAATTAACATTACACACTGACACTTAACCTGGATTAATAATTATAACTATACATACAAATATTTACAAACAAATATACTTTTCCCAAACAGTGATAAATTATAAAAAAAAAATGTTTTTTACAAGATTTTCTTTTATGTTCAAAGTTAGGACTTTATAATTATTACGTCGTTTGTAGAATTCTGTACTAAATAAGAGCACTGATTTTAAAAATAAATTTTAACCATTTTGACAAGTTGTTGAACCTTGTAACATTGCATAATTAAATATCAAGACTAACTGAATATGTCTGCAGCAGATAGACCACTTGTAGGTCTATCTATTTCATCTTGAGCTGGTCCTAAGGAGCGAAGCTATTGAAAACTTCCTTTCAAGGTGATTTATTTCAACACTCAGAGCCAGCCGAGATACATTTGGAAGTCACTAATATATCCCTGTGACTGCTAGTTTTTTTAATTTGTTCTCCAGTGTTAGGAATTGATTTTAACCTGATTAGTGATTTTCTTGTTCCTTAACTCAATTCCTTGCAAACTGTTGATAGCTTTGATAAAATTTTGTAGCAAAGCTTGTTCGAATTTTGAAAAATTTAAAAATATTCAGCTATTTTTATAGTTATAAACTTTTCCAACACTTAGTCCAGGCATAGTTACTGGTAAAAGATGCTTATTGCGTCCAATTAGAGGTACTTAGATTACATGCAACAGTTTCAGAAGCTTATTCCTTTTTTGTCTTCTACTCGGAACTTTTCAATTTATTTAAAACATTGCACATTGTTATTAGTTGTTATTGTTTATATACATTGACATAACCGCACATAACCAAAATATTGACCTAAGTCCTTAACCACTTTTTATCACCTTCATCCAAAAATTGTATTTGTACGGTTTTGTCAACTGGAATAAATTTTCATTATTATGTTTAATTTTTTATGTCTTTTATCATGAATTGTTATTTTTAAATAAATAAAGATATGTGTTTAACTTTAATAGGTAAGTGATGACATAGTAGAGGCCACGGCCTTATCGAAAAGAAGACGTAGAGGGCATATCGGCATAACATTAAAAATTGACTACTTCATTAAATCGTCAGTAGATGGCGCTCGAGATTGCATCAAACACTTTTTACTGTTGCATTATCCTGCTATATTATCTTCATACAACGATAATACTATAGGTTGGATGGTCCAATGTTGGAACAGGTAAACAAATAATGCAAATTAACTAAATAATATTTATATTTATTCCTACGAAGTAGGTAAATATTTATTTGACAAACATTTAATAAAATTAAAACAGGACAGTCTTAAATTTTATAATTATATCATCAATAAAAGCTTTTTTTTTTATATACACCTTCTGAGTTTGTTAATTTTAAATGTACTGGCTCACTTAATTTTTATACAGGGTGTTAGTATATTCGACCGATAATGCTCTACTCCAGAGAGCTATAGTTAATTAATGAATTTTGATAAAAAAACATGGTCCTTTAAAAGGCTTAGTTAGCGAGATACAGGGCGATTAAAATTTTAAATCAAAATTCAAAAGTTGCTACAAATTAAAAACGTATCTAAATATTTTTTTCAAATTTGGTTTTTTAATTCTCTAATCATTTTTAGATCAAAAAGTACATTTTATGGTTCTAAAAATTTGCTTTTAAACAAAAATATGCATGTACTTAATTGGTAACCACACAATTTTTCTAAATTCTAATCTAGTTAGCACGAGTCAAATTGCCTCTAGATTGACAAGTTCTTGGTAAATTAAATTTGAAAAAGGATTTAAAGACGATTTTGAATTATTCCAAATTTTTTATTTTGATTAAAAATTTTTAACACCCTTTAACTCGGTAATTAATTTGTTTAAGGGTTTACGTATCAAAATTCATCAGTTAACGAGAGCTTTATGTGGTAGAGCGTTGTATATGTCTGAATTTGCATATTCTTGAGCTAAATTAGGAGTGGATTGACTCACATGCATTCGTTGTTCTACACCACATGCTGTTTGTCATCTAGTACATTAAAAGGACATTAAGGATTAAGGGTAGTTAATCTCTTGATTTTATATCCTAGACCCAATTGAATGATAGGATTTGGAACTACCTGCCTTTTTGTTTTAACTGACATATAACGATTACAATATAATAACATGAAATATTAAAGTGCACTTTCAAAAAATCTTATAATAAATTATGTGATAATTTTATTCTTTCTTCAACAAAAAAAATCTAAATCATGCTGGCCATTTTTAAAAGAATAAAAATATTTTTTTAGCCTTTAAAAACAATCTATCTATTGATAATTTTAATAATTTTTTTGTGGACATAGCTGAAAATATGATATTGTTCCAGTGTTGATAATTTTGAACAATTTCTATTGTTTCAATTTTTGCAAATTTATTAAAAATTTAATCAAATATCGAATAGTAACCTATTTTGAAACAAATAATTTTTTTTTAACTTGTAATTCGGATTTAGAAAAGAACGTTTTACTATGTCTGTTCTAGATGTCATGATGCAGTCTTTAGAGACTTACTGCTAGGAAAATTATATTTCTGTGGTGTGAGAGGAATTCCCTTGACACTTAATAAATTATAAATATCAAACCAATCGAAACTAGGTTGTAACTTATAATTAGACTTGTTTATACGGCCCGACTTACTACGCGTCGGACCGTATAAACTGGTACTGATATTATTCGCTTTGATTCTAAATCCCTATAGTTTTCACATGCACTTGTGCAACGCGTATTGGAAAACGTTCAGCTGCTGATGCTGTATATATTATTCATGGGTCTTTTGATGAAAAGTAATGTTCGGACTAGTCCGACGAAAAAGTTATGAAAAGTAGTCCTCCTTGAAAAAGTAGATGTATGGGTATGTGGTAGTCAGGGCCGTCTTTTTATTTTGATTGATTAACTTTGAATCAGATAAAAAAATTAGTTTTGTTTTTATTTTTTTTATAATATTTTTTTATCAAAGGTAGAGACTTTAAATTAAATTTATATCCCTTAACAGAAAATATTGTTTAAATAGATGACACTAATATAAAATGTGTCATCGGTGTAACTCATTAAAACCATAAAGGTCTGTGGACTTTTCCTAGCGACCCATCACTAATATACAGGGTATTTCCGGATGAATTGAAAAAAAGGAATCAAAAAGGAATCAAAAATGTTATTCCTCGTAAAAATGTTTGCTTGTTTCAAACATATTAATATTCCAAACAGAAATTGATTATCTATCCCTTTGCTTTAGTAAAAAAAAGACAAAAATAATAAAAAAAAAAAATTATTTTCGAATCAAGAGAAAACTTTATGAAGAATAACATTCTCTAATTATTGAAAATAAAACAGGTTTTTCTTTTTTTAGCTCACGCGGGACGCGTAAAGGCATAATGTACTATTATTCAGAGCAGTTGTAGTCTGAATCGCAATATACTATGGTTTAACCTTAGGCGTAACTTCAAAAGATAATCTGTACCATAATTCAGAGCACGACCTTATTATAACGATCTGAAACACAGTATATAATGGATTTAAATAATTGGCGTTGCTGCTAGAACAAACTGTATCACAAAGTATCACAAAGTATCACAAAGTATCACAAAGTATCACAAAGTATCACAAAGTATTTGTTACATAATTTATATTATCAATTACAACTAAATTAAATTCACTGCAAGATTAAGAAAAATATCGTAAATTTCATAAAAAAAAATTGAGATTAAACAACTGTCTTTATTAAAAAAAAATCATTAATGGGTTTTTGCATTAGGTTGATTTCTAAAAATAATTTCTACCAAGTTATGCTTCCGTTTGGCTGTTGTCTTCAATTCCTAATTGGATAGTCTACCTGATTGAATCCATTTCCTTCCAGATGTGAGGTCATTTTGATTCCTTCTTCTGCTAATAGCTGTAGGTTGAACCCCTATTTGTTTTGAAGAGTGTCCTTTCCTTAAATTGCAACGAAAACTTGCGAGTTGCATTGATGTTGTAATTTTTTTTAATTCAACATTAGCCTTAATGATGCAATTCGTAAAATCTGCGGTGTTATTTTCTGATGCAATTTCTATTAGTTTCTGAAAGTTTTCTTTTAGACTTTCTACTGCAGAAGTGTGTTCTCTGTTAACTTCTGATTCCTTTTTCTTTGTTTCCAAAATAGAATCAACCTTGGTATCAACTCCCTTTTGAATATTTCGTTGTGGACTTTTATTAATAGGTGTGTTGTCTAACCGGCTTTCAGAATCGTCTAAGTCCATATTTTCAAAAAAATATTCTGAGGCGTCGTAACCGAGAGCTAACGTTGCTAACATTTTCTTATCGGGTGGAGTAAGTAAAGGCGCGTTCGGAAGAAGTACTCCAAAATTTTGTTGCACGGTACAAAGATGTTTGCAAAATTTACCGCCTATACCTTCATTAAAGTGTCGAAAAAATGTTTCTCGCACCTCTGGTGCCATTCTTAAATAGCTAAATGCTTGAGCTACGTATACTCGGTGGGAATAAGTCGTGCTCTGAATCATGGTACATATTATCTTTTGAAATAACGCCTAACGTAAAGCCATAGTATACTGCTATTCAGACTACAACTGCTCTGAATAATAGTACATTATGCCTTTACGCATCCGGGACACTTCTATATAACGTACCTATTTATTGAAATTTACAAAAAAATCGGATCAATTAATTTAACAATCTTAACATTCATAATTATAACACGAGGCAAACGAACATAATAGAATTAATCGTTATCTTAATTAAATGTTATATCTCCAATGTCTTACCTAATCATTGCAAATGCCTAAATCTAAATAATTTCAAAAGCAATCTAAAAATATTTCAAGTTAAGTAACATAAACATACTCGCCCTCATAATATGCCCATTGTTTATTACAATTTTAAATATTCTATTTTCGTTTTATTATCTAAGTATATTGTAAATAAACTTTATTATTTTTGCTACAAACTTTTAAATTGTAACTTGTAACCTAGGTAGTTAAATAAAATTTTCTTCTATACATATTTCCTAACCCGCAAAACTTCCAGTTTACACGCCTCGTTAACCAAATTATTTACGTCGTTTTTGTACACTGCAGACACCGCATTACAGTATCATAAGAGACTTATAATAATATTTTCCACTTTTCCGCGATTAAAAATTCAGTTTTGGAAAGAGAGAGCGATAGTCAGAGAGTTCGTGACTACAATTTTCACGGGTATACGGAAAATCTACATAATTTGCTCGAGGAAAATCTAAACAGTTCTTTTATCTTTTAACGAAGTTTATTCTGCTAGTTTTGAGTTTGAATTGTTCATGGCGTTTTAGTGGTTGGTTTAAGGATTGTAAGATTTGATGTAATTTGATTTTTGTGATAAGACGAATGATTGTTGAGGGTGTAAATGTCTACTTTTCTATCTAAAAGGTTGAGTTTTATGGTATGTGTATTCCCTGGAGTTGTCACCGCAAAATATTGAAATGTATGTAGCGCCAAGATCCTATTATAGTTTATTACCTTCAGAAATTAGAAATACATGGTCCTTCAATACTCTTAAAAATAAACTAAAATCTATTTGCAAATGAAGGAGGAACAATATTTAGTGATTTAGTGAAAGTAATTATTATTACTTTATTTATTTTACGAAACTAAATTACATTTTCTATATTTATTGTAACTTTTACCCAAATTAAGTAGGTATATATTTTTTATTCATTATACCTCTCTGTGCTAAATTACGTCATTATATATTTTGCGTAGTAACACTAAACAATGCCTGTATTATGCATCAATTGTCAGATTTTTAAATTGTTTTTAATCATTTATGCTGGTATTTATTTTACTTAGCAGCAGAGACAACTAATGAGATGGGTAACTAAATGCAATTTTGCATTTCGTCAAGAATTGACTGGGTGATTGGACTGGAAGTCATAGCCGATGGCGCTGTTATACCTTCTGCTTTAGCAGTGGCCTTTTTTCTTCATAAGCAACCAGTCAATTTAAAATTTTGTTTAAAAAAAAGAAGAATGGCGGAAAGTTCAAATATGCAGCTTCCTTTTATCTACATAATATTTTTTTTTCTGATTTGGTGCAATTAAAAAGTGATTAAATTATTCACATTTACTAGCACACTAAATCAGAGAAAAAATCATTTTATTAGAGATTAGACACATACAAAAGAAAGTAATAAATTAGCATTAAAAAGGGAAATAAAACAAAGTATGATTTCAATATTTTGTAACATTAGAACAATAATAAACATTCACACAACAAAGGTTCTAAGACTATTTTATCTAAATGCAATTCAATCAAAGACATTACAACATAGAGACAAAATGTTTCATTCATACGCAGTAACGTCACGAAATGACAGAAAATATTCTACTTGGGGTCGTACATTAGTTTTTTAAAAATCTAATATTTTATTGTTATTTTGTGGTGTTTATATTTTTATTTTTTAACTTTTTTCTGCTGTTAGATATTTTATAATATCGGTAGTTTGATTTTTAAAAGACGAGCAACAAAAAAACAAGGAAAAATCATGCAATGATTTCTATCTCTCAAATTTCAAATTACTTTTTATTTGAAATATAAAGAAAAATATTATTGTGTGAATGGTTAATTTTAAACATTTTGAGTTAGGGTACGGCCTCCGAGCTGAATTCGGATCACACTTTGTTTATATCTCGAAATATTTTGAAATTTTGGCAAGCCTGGAACAAGTCGTAGTGTTGCCAAACAATTTTTACTTTTTACACATAAAAATCGTAAGAAGAAATAAAGGCACTCAACCTAAACTAAAATAAAAAGCTAATGGTAAGATTTTAGAATATTATTCTCTAAATATCATTCACTATTAATAAATTAATTGCAGCTTTGTCCACCATACATTTAAAAGCAGACGAGATAGTTTCTTACAAACACTAAACACAACTAAGAGCAAGAAAAGTCAAAGGGGTTTACTAAAAGTACCTATATTAAAAAAAGGGTTTGCTGCAGGAAGTTTTTAGTAAAAAGCAGTTACAAATAATTTTATAGAAGAAAACAAGGGTCTGTTGGAATTCAGAAAAAACATACAATGTATATTTATATCGGAAATAAGAAATATATTTTGTTTCTTTCTTGATATTTGATGTATGAACAGTATAATTTACTTGAATGAAAAAAAACAATAAAACAACAACCCAGATTTATTATAATATTCTATAAATATAGGTACCAAATAAGAGAAAAATTGTTTTATAGATTGTGTTTACATACATACAATACACGGAGATGGAGATTTAACATTACATATACTTGGAGCATTTAAATAAATCATCCAAAAGACCATATCTTAAATTTATTTGAGTAGCGCACTTTTGTAAAGTTAAAATCCCCAGAAAGTGATACTTTAGAGAATTTCTGAGGTAAAGATAGCACCTTTTTTTACTTAAACATCTTATCGTGAATGCTTTACAAATTTCTTTTCAACTCCAGAGGGCCCTTGATTTTTTCTTTAAAATTATTTGTAACTATATACTTTTTACTAAAAACTTCCTGTAGCAAACCCTTTTATCAAAAATGTATGTAATTTTAGTAAAGCCCATTGACTTTTCTTACTCCCGGTTGATTTTAATGTTTGTAAGAAACCATCTCATCTGCTTTAGTAAATAGTAAATTATATTTGCAAAATAATTTCTCTAAAATCTTACCATTGGCTTTTAATTTCAGTTTAGGCTCAGTCCCTTTATTTCTTCTAACCATTTTTGTGTGTAAAACGTAAAAATTGTTTGGCAACAGCAACACTTCGGCTCGCTCCAGGCTTGCCAAAATTTAAAACTACTTCGGGATATAAACAAAGTGTGATTCGAATTTAGCTCGGAGGCCGTACCCTTATCCAAAATGTTTAAAATAAACCATTTATACAATATTATTTCTCTTTATAATTCAAATAAAATGTAATTCATTTGAAATTTGATGGAATATGATTTTTTTCATGCCGTTTTGTAGGTTGTCTTTCAAAAAATCAAATTATTGATTTTATAAAAACTTTAACACAGGTATATAGTTCAAAAATAAAAATATAAACACCACTAAATAATAATAAAATATTGGAGTTTTTAAAAAACTAATGTACGAACTGCAGCAGAATATTTTCTGTCATCTTGATTTTTCATTCCCTGACGTCACACCCTTTCTTAGTAATGGACGGAAGAGGTCACCATGTTTTCTTTGAACCGTGGCCCATGCCAACGTTACAACGCGGTGGAGTCGTATAAATGGCAACGCTGACATCATTTGTTTCACACTCGTCCAATGCCAACTCTCTGTAGCTTTCATATGCACTTGTGCATTTCGTATTGAAAGACGTTCAGTGGCCGACACTGTATATTATATCTTTTGCCTTGATTTTGTTTTAAAAGAGGTATAATGAAAAGTATCCTTTATTACACATCCATGAATGCTGTTTCCGTGCGTACATGACTTCCCGTGTTTGGGTGTCTGGCTTTGCCTTACACGGGAAATTGTCAAATTGTGATGAAATATACTTTTTTAATTACTTAAGAAAGATCAAAGGTCATGTCACATCTTGCTAATTTACTTGCCAAGAAGGCAACCAGCCAACCAGCTTTTTGGTCCTGGTCCCTCTATAGGACTGACAACATCAGTAATGACAAAACCTTATTAAAGAACATTCCCTTGTGAAATTCAAGGAACGATGGGATGAAACAAGAAGCTGCAACTTGCCAGGGATCTTTTAAGTTATCCTGACAACACTACAGCAAACAAATACTTGACTATGACTAAACAGAATCTGCGCCTGATCACAGGCATTCTGACTGATTATTACCAACTACAGAAGAACATGAAAACATCGAGCATATTCTCTATGATTGCTCGACGCTCTCATTTATTAGAAGATTTGAGTTCGGCGAGAATTGGCTAACACCGTCCGATATAAGAGAAGAACTTCTTGTCGACATTGTTAACTACATTGAATCTGTAGGTTGGCTCGAGGTTCCTATCTACTTAGGAGGATGTACAATAATATGCCTAGTAGGCCTATGTGTCGTGGATTAACCCACCCTCAACACGTTACAGATAGAGATAATATTGTGATTGTGACTTGTTTTTTTACTGGGACTAACTTGTTTATAAAATTTATTGTATCTACATAAATGACATTATTTACTTCTGTGATTTTAATGTATATACTAATATGCCTGGTTTTATTTTATTTAAAGTTGACAAATTTCATATATAAATAAACATTTTTATAATTTGTCTATATCTCTGTCTGGCTTATATTAATCATTTACCTGCTTCTAATTATTGATTTAGTCTTATAGCAACCAACTTCAATTGGTTTTTATAAGATTTTTAAGTGTTTAATAGCTTTTCTACATTACTTTCTGGTTAAACATTCACTTTTTAAAATACTTTATTTATTTTATTCACTTTAACTGTAAGAGATGGTATACCTACACAATATAAATTTTCTGTTTTCTAATTAATTTATGAAGATATGTAAAAATTGTATTAGTTTAATTTTTAAATTGTTAAAAATTTTAAATGGAATTAATGGGTAAATTGTAATATAAAATTTAATAAATTTTGTTTGATGACAATATTAGGCATTCCAACGACCTGTCCAAATGGCTACCAGTGGGGACTGACAGTTTAGATATGGCAACCCTGTTATCATGTTGTCATTAACAGGGTCAATGATACATATATAGTTATATAGATTGCTCAAAGCTGGTCGTTTGTCAGCGGCCATATTGCCTGGCAAATATTTATTAATTTGAATCGGTTTAGCAAAACTGTGTATTAAAACCAATTTTCAGCCTTTAGATATTTAAAAAATAATAATTGGTTACATTTTTACGTCAAGGCATAAGCTTATGTTTATTTTGAAAAATATGGATGATCAATCTATGTAACTATCTATTTCATTGACCTTGTCAAATCACCAGGCCTACAGGGTTGCCATAATTTTGCCATATAATAATCTGTCAAAACCCACTGGTAGCCATTCAGTTTGGAATGCCTAATTGTTTTTTTCTTTTTAAATATTGTATTATTCAAAAAAAATAAAAAATTGTTTGTCTAGTTCTAACTTTTTTTTTCATTTTTGAAAACAGGACAATTTTATTATACAAAACTCATTGAAAATTTGAATCGTTTTATTATAATCGTTAATTATTCTTACATTGTTTTATTAAGTTTGTTAAATATTTAACTAAATTGTTTAAATCTGACTTGTACAAATAAACTTTTCCTAATTGGTTTAGCGTTTTTATTATCCCACAAAATAACTTGAATTAAAAATAACAATTTTTTATCAAAATAATTTTATTCAACTGCTGTTTTAGGCATCTAAAAATTGTATACACCAACTACCTAATTTTGTACAATTATTACATTCAAGTTCTTACTTAAAAATTGTTAGTTGAATAATAATTTATTTTTTTAATGGTGATTTTAAGTTTTGTTATTAATAGAATATCACAAATAATCATCGTAAGTCATCTCATCGTCAGATAAGTCATCATAATCTTCAATATCACTAGAATCGATCGAAATTCCAGTATTTTCAGTCACCACTTCAGTGTCATCTCTAAATTCTTCAATTTCATCCATATTTTTCGCGTTTTTAACCTTTAATGGAGGAGATTTTTCTTGTGCGCCCTTTGTATCCGCTTTGATGGTGGTTACTGGGGGATTTACAAATCCTTCCAAGATCTTCTTGTGGTGGATAAACCGGTGCTTTTGTTTGAAGCGCTTCTTTTGCAACGCTGTGTCAAAGTCGAATTTTGGGGGACTAAAAATACAAAACTATAGGTGTACAATTTAGTAAAAACTACTGAATATAAACAAACGACTTATTGCGGGGTTTAAATTAAGCTACAAAATTATGAAGAAAAATATTTTTTTAAATACGGACCTGGATTTTTAACTGTATAGCTTTTGTATAGCTAAATACAACGATATGTTACACTTTACCATTTTACTACGTTTCGTCTATGAAAATATCATCAGCTATGTTGCTTCTGATGATAGGGGTTCTTACTTGATTAAAACAAGATAGTTACTTAAATAATAATAAAAAAACAAAAAATGCTTAAAATGTGAAATTTTAAATATTATTTGAAACATAATACAATAATTATTTAATTACAAAATGGGTTACAATTTTTTATCAAACATGATTAAGTACAACCAGCAAACAAGACTAATGAAGAACGAATTATGGTTGTACACATTCTACAAATAATAAAGCTAATAACAAAAACATAAAATGAAAAACAAAACGGTCAAGCAATCTATAAATTCCTATCACCTAATTTTCACTAGTAATACCACTAGAGGTCAAGTTATTTCCGGAAATTTTTTCGAGCTCATGAATATTTTGAAAATTTCCCGAGTCGCAAACGAGGGAAATTTTCTAAAAATATTCATGAGCGAGAAAAAATTTCCTGATATTAATTTGACCTCGCGTGGTATTCGGTAAGAAAATTCCACGCCGAATTATGGTTAAAAATTAAATATTTTTAAAATTTATTTTTCGTTTCTCAACAATGCAAATTATTTTCTCCAAGTCACCAGTGAAACATAAAAGGTGTTGTCGCCTTGATTGTTGAGTTGTCATGGTAACTAAGTGAGACCCTAACCTCGAATATAATTTCAGTTTTGAAGTTGTCAAGCGGCCCAACGTAAAAAAATGTTTCGCTGCAATTATTTAGGCCTTCAAATTGCTTATTTCTACTCATTGTAGTTGCATGGGAATACCATTTGAAAATAGAAAATAGTATATTCTTTAATTTTACGTAAGTTTTGAATAACTACAAGTGGTAGAAAATTGTTTTTCTGCGTTTTTATTAACATGCGTTATGAGCGCTTTAAAATGGTATGAAATTCATAACCAGCGTCAGCAAGCATCAATCGTAGGAGGCTGTGATCATTGTATTTTGACAGTTCAAAACATTAAATAACTCGCGTTTTGTTGCGATAAAGAATATTGCACAGCAAGTAAAACCAACAAAATTACCTATTTGTTTAAAAATGAATCGATTTGAAAATCATACGCTATGCAAAATATGCGTGAAATTGTCTGATGTAATGATCAATCATTGCACCATGACTTACTTACTCGGATTAATAGAGGATTGTGGCTCCAACTTGAAAAACGAAAATTTGTTCCGAATTGTCCACGAATATTTGCACCTAAACTACGCAAAATTCAAAGTGCTGAATGGGAAAAAGGTGAATAAATAAGTGTCTAAATATTATATATATTTTATTAGACATAGACACATAATTCAAAGCATCCAAAGTCCTGCATTTTCGCCATTAAGAAGAAAAGAAGTGGCCGAAGAATATAGAAAACACCTTAGCATTGTAACTAAAATGTATCAAAACTAAACCTATTATGTGAACAAATAAAAACCAGTCTGTTAAAAATGGTCTGTTATTGTAAACGTCAAAAAATTTCCAGTATAATTCGCTGTTGGGTACCCCACGAGAAAAAAATTTCCACTAAAATACCTCCGTTGCCATGGTGATCTGTCAAAAACACGTATTTTGACTGGTTTAAAATTACAGGTGTGGAATTTTCTGTAAAATCTTTCGCTTAGGTTTCTCACACCGTATTTTTTCAAATCATTAATGTTTTCATTTTTGCATACATAAGATCTTAACAAAATCATGTTTGCCATGCATGTCAGTTGTAACTTGTCACCAATATTTCTGTTATAATCTGTAACATCTAAAATTGCAGTACTTTTTTAGCTATAAATAATTTAAAATTAAATAAATATTATGGTTTGTTATATACTGAAGAAGAAAAGAAAGATATATATGATGTGTACATAAGATGCTATAGGAATGAAACCTGGTCAGCTTAAACTCATTTAGATTTATATCCTGATAGACAACATCCATCTAAGAGGATGTTTTCTTATATTTCAACAAATATGGCAGAGCATAGCAGTGTGAAAAAAAGGAGAACTAGATATCAGGTTCGACATACTGATAATTAAAAATATGTTCTTGCCCAAATACATATTAACCCTGAAAATTCTACTAGGCGAATAGCTAAAGAATGTGTGGTAGAAACCTCCACGGTTAAAAAAATTTTAAATAAACATAAATACCACGGCTATAAATTTCAAGAAGTCCAGAAATTACACGCTGAAGACTCTGGTATAGTAGAAAACTGCGAAATGACCGTTCTTTCAACAAAAAGATATTATTGATGGAAAAATGCTCCTTTACTAATAGTAGAATATTTAATCCCAGGAACAAGCATTGTGGTATACTACTTCTAATCCCCATTTAATCAGAGAAGTTAGACCACAGTTCCGTTTTACCCAAAATGTGTGGAGTGGACTAATCAATAATCAGATTATTGGGCCGATTTTTTTGGATGGTAATTTAAATCAGTTCCGATGCCTACATTTAATGGAGGAAGTACTCGATGAGATGTACCTACAAACAAGACAAAATCTTTAATACTTTATGCAAGACGGTTGTGGTATCTCGATCAATATTTTAGAGGTAATTGGATTGGTAACAATGGACCAATAAGATAGCCTCCTCGATATCCGTGTCTTAACCCCATGGATTATTTTGTATGGGGCTTCATATAGAACCAAATCTACAATAAAAATTTGCCAAATAATCTACAAGAGCTTCGTCAACGAATAGTAGATGCACTTGAAAAAATTACACCAGAAATGGTTAATAAAACTTTATCCCAAATGTCTAGGAGAATTCCACTCTGTATCCAATAGAATGGACTACATTTTGAGCAACCATTGTGACTCTTTTTGTTTTTGAATTTTGTTTTTGTTATTAGCTTTATTATTTGTAGAATGTGTGCAACCATAATTCGTTCTTCATTAGTCTTGTTTGCTGGTTGTACTTAATTATGTTTGATCAAAAATTGTAACCCATTTTGTAATTAAATAACTCTTGTATTATGTTTCAAATAATATTTAAAATTTCACATTGTTTGTTTTAATCAAGTAAAAAACGGTATGATCACGGTATGATAATATTTTCATAGACGAAACGTAGTAAAATGGTAAAGTGTAACATATCGTTGTATTTACCTATACAAAAGCTATAAAAAATTACCGTTAAAAATCCAGGTCCGTATTTAAAAAAATAAGTTGAAGGTGGCCCTGCAAATACGAAATGTAATAAAAAATTTGACATGGTAGATTATAGGGAACTTAATTTGTAACAAAAACTTCGTATAATTTTATTTTTGTATCTTTTATTATAACAACGCACGACTTAAAAAACGAAAATGAGGTTTTTCGGATTTTATCGAATATCTCCGGAACCAGTCAGAAAACCTAGAACTTCTATGGACCGTTGTTTTATCCGTCAAAATACGAAACTTTTTCCCCATTTAACCGACAATGTATATCTTACGGTTTACGAGATCTCTGTATACGCAAATTAAATCCGGCCCACCCTATAGGGTCAATAAAAAAAAAATAGCCATGAAATTGTAAAATTTCAGCATTTAATAAACCTTTTCGAATTTGGTCATACCTACCTAATTTGTATTTTATATAGATCAAATTAAATAATTTGTCAATTAAAACATGCAAGACTTGTTTAGAAATAAATATAACAGTATGTTATGTACTTTATTTAGCTATAAACAAGTTTATTTTTATTATTTTGATAAAATTATGTATAATTCCCATAAGAAGCCATGTATTTTGAACACCGTTAGTAGTAGAAGCGCCCATGCGGTTAAGTATAAAAGCTCAATTAGCGTTTTTTGGGACCGTATTTTGAGTATGCCGATTTGCATCTTTATCCCTAGTCTTCATAGGTAGATTCCTTCTTTTTTCCTTTCGTGTTCTACAAGTCCAAATGACAATCATGAATGGTTAATTTGTGGTTAAATTTTATGAGAAAATATTTGCTTATAGGTTTCGGTTTAAATAAATTGGGATTGGGGGTTTCAATTGGTTATGAATTATCAAAATTGCATTGATCTGGCAACCTAGGGATACGACATGCGTAAGCGAAAAGTGGGACCGGTCCGCCATTACTGTGAGTGCAAATTGTCAATTTTATAGGTTATATTTTTACTGTCATTTGTGTAATTAAATTTGAATTTAATTTGTGTTCGAGCAAATTTTGAGTGTTACAAACTTATAAAGTATATAATGCGTTGATGTGTTATACGTTCCTGCTCTAGCGATAGACGTTTTTGTAAAAAATCGACTGGAATAACGTTTCATAGGTTAGTATTAAAATTATAAATATTATACAGGACAGTATTATGACAGGTTTGTATAAAATGTGTAAAAGTATGCTTTTAAAAATGCAAAAAAAATCATCTATCAACTTTTGGGCCTACCCATATTGGAATAATACTTTTTCATACGAAATAATATTTATAGATTTCCAAAAAATCCTAAAACACGTAGCGCGTGGATACAGTTTGTCAACAAGTATAATTGGTAAGTACATTAATCGTACGCGATTTCGTTTATCAAATTTATAGGCATTTTATATTCTTATTTCTATTTAAATATAACCTACATTTGCTGTCCTTCCACCAATTTTATTTATTAGTTCTACAGCTGATTAAAAAGTAGAGTTTCATGTTTTGTGTATGCATGAGTATTGTTTGTTTTATTATAGTTAATTTAACACAATATTAATATACCTTTTTAATTACCTATAATTTGTTTCAGATTAGTGCGTTTAAAGGAATTGGTGAAAATGAAGCGATTCGCCAACTTTGGGGATGTGCCAGAAAAGTGACATCAAAGTTATTCAACGGTTCCAGAATTAAGCATTAAGGAACATCGTCAATGCACCCTGATACTGCCACAATACTAATCTTCACAGGGACCTTAAAGTGAAGACTGTTGAAAATACAATACAAACATTTGCCAGTAGTCACCAACAACAACTGTTCCAGCATGGAAACCTCGAGATTACCCAGCTCCTCAACAATGCCAAATCTAATAAGAAGACTCAAGAGACCAAGCCTTTTGAGTTAGTTCAGTGATGTTAAAGCATAGTATAGTGCAGTTAAGTGATTTAGACTCTAAGGTTAGAGAGTAGAATATCAGTTTGTGAAGTTTTTCATCCCTTGATAAGTTAGAATAAAATTTGTAATTGATTTTAATAATTAGATTGTAATAATCGTAAATGTTTCTTTACTTGGGGCATTTATTAAAAAAAATGTTGCAAGACGCACTAGACAAACTTAAATATCACATTTTCAAAACTTTTGGTTTTTTATCAACAATAATTATAAACGTCAGTTGGCTACTCAGTACTACACTTGTCAACTACGTTTCCTTTTTATGATAAATTTAAATTAATAATATGCCAAAATAGTGTACCTTTAATGATTTTGTCATGAATATTCGCGAGCTGCTTGTATGGAGTATCAGTGACAATTTCCATACCGACAAGTTCCAAGGCACCAAACATTCAGAGCTGTGTTTCGACATATACCAACACATGGCATACTATGTTAATATATCTTTTGATATTTAAACTCTTGTAGCTTGGTAACCATGTAGAATTGGATATTTGTTCATAGGACATTTTATGTTTGAAATGAATTCAGGAATATGATATTTAAGTTTGTTATGAACATACTGTATATAACTTCTTATAATAATAAATATTTAACATCAATACTCACTTAGTTTTTTTTTAATGGGACTAGCAAAAAAACCATAACCGTTAGTCTAGTATTGAAAATAAATATCACTCATACATATGGATAAGAAAATATTATAACTTTATTCTTTGTACACTTTTATTTAATCACAGTACACATTATTTGCATTTACAATATTTGCTTGTCGTTCATATGCCCCAGTCTGTTTTGTTCACCTTTTCTAGTGGCTTTTTCTGCTAAACTTTAGTCCCTATTCTACCTTCACGTAGGTAATGAATTATTCAACCATTTAGTCAACAAAGGGGTTTTACTTGTTTTACAGTAAGATACTTATCTTTAATGTTCAAGTTTTAGAATTTGAACTTGGTAGGCCATTTTCGTCAATTTTGTTCTTAGAACTTTTGGAAAAACACTTGGGAAGTACTCTTACAAATTTATTTCTTATTTTGCCTAGCGAAGAAATTGTGTATAAGGAAATATTCTGGTTTTTACCTCAGTGGTTAAGAAAAGCGCATACAGTGGATACTTTTCCTAACTCGATAAACATTTATTACCTAGTTGTTGGCCTCCCTTTATCACCAGCCTACAATTTCAACTCTTTTGCTGTTAACTTTAACTTCATCTTTGACTTTAACTATGATTGGGACTTAAACATTATCTTCACATTCTTTGTCTGACTTTCAATCATACATTCATGATTATTGTGCACAGACCAATTAAATGGACCGGCATGCTTGTGGTGCATGTTGTGTGTTACCACGGTAGGCCTTTACATAAGTAGCCATAATCTCTGCAGATGGTGAGAAGCCCAGCTCAAACCAACTACCATAATATCGTCATTAGATCTATAGGTCTCAAGTGAGATCTCTTCATATTTTACATTTGTTAGAAGTGCACCTGCACATCGCTGGTGTGGCTTCGCTGATTTACTGAATGTCTTGCATGAAGATATACACCTTTCAGTCTGAATCTACAAAAGGACCAAGACCAAGTAAGATTAATCCACATTTTGATTTCCTGAATAGTGCATCTACCTACACAGAGATTGCTTATTAGCCATTTTCCGCGAGCCTTGCATTAAGTTTCGTATCTGATTATCGAGCTTTAAGTGTATGAACATTTGTTCTTAATTTCGAGAAAGCTGTTAATTAAAGTAAGGTTAGATTACTTGACATTTGCGACCTTGTACTTTCCGATTTAAAGACAGAAAGCATTGGGCTCATAGAAAAACGAAAAACTAAAGATTGGGCTATTTATGTGCCCTAATGCAAACGTGTGACGACTGATCCAATAAATCGAACTCTGTTTACTTTTGTCGCTTATTTATTTTTTCTGTAAATGATTTCAACGCTTTAGTGTTAATTTCACCATTGTGTTAAAGTTTAAACTATTAATTGAATATTAAAATTACATTTTATATAAAAATGTCATTTTAAACTTCTTTAAACCCAATGGTGAAATCGGCCCCAAGTTAGTTATATTATGGTCATTGATTAGTTGCAATTTTGCAAATAATATATTCTCCAGCGCTTAATAGCCACTTGAGTGATAATTAAATCAGTTATATTTTATTTCTTTCATTTACTTTATTCAGCACCTCTCGGCTGAAAACCGGGCATATTTAAGCTTTTAAATCCCCTTCTTTTATAACCTCGGCCTTCCACCCCCTTTTAAGTCAATGTCTATAAAAGGAAATTCATTTTTTTATAAAATTCAAATAATGATACTTAACCAGAAATAGTACAATAAAAACTTGTAAATCCGGTTCTGCTCTTCCGCCATTTTAGTGAGTGCAAAAGCCACGCCTACCGGTCCCACTTTTGTATATCAAAAATAATACATATGACGTATCCTTACGTTGCCTTATCGATGCAAAATTGCCATTACGCCTCCTTATTTCTAGTCTTCATAATAGTGACAAATGTCACTATGAAGGAAACGCAGACGTAGATTTACACTGAAATAAAAAATCATGCCCAGTAGCATGACCATTACTATTGGTCAGAAAGTCGATCAGTTTAGATTTATTTGTTTTTGTGAATTATTCATACGTAACTTTGGAAAATAAATATTAGAAAAACAAATATTCAAAAAATATTTGACTAATTCGATGTATTATTAAAATGGTTTAAGCTTTCTGGTAATTTTCTAACATTAATAAAACCGGTTATTTAATTGTAAGACACAACGGATTCACTTCTGGCTAATTTAAAGCAAACTCTAGAGTTTCTCAGGGTCCAAATCTAGGACCACTAATATATTTAGAATTTATTAATTATCTAACTTTTATTCTTAAATATTCGAAGTGCCTTTTGTTAACCGATGACTTACAAGTTTTTAAAAATGTTCAAAATGTAAGAGATTGTATTAAATTACAAATACAGTGCATAGTTTTTCGTGTTAGGCGACTAGTATACAAGATAATAAAATGGCAACAGTTCAACAGTCAGTCGTCGACTAAAAATAGAAGATATGATGGTGGGATATTAGACGAACCGAATGAGTGATACAGAACTAGAGAGCATACCGATAGCGGGGATATCGTAATTGCCACATGTTCGCTGTGAAAGAACGGCTATGCCTAATACAAAATAATAAGTACTGTAGATTTATATAATGTATAAAAAAGGTTCTGTCGAACAATGGGGCTTATAAAATATTATATGTTTTTCTATTATCTTTTAAATAATGGGTGTCTTGAACGTTGTAATAAGGTAAATGATTTAGATGTCTCGTAAGACACCTCATTATCTTTTAGTAATCACATTAGTAAAATAGTTAAGTCTGAAAATAGGATATTAAGATCTATTTATTAGCAATTTTGTAAATTTTACAAACTAATGTTATTCAGCCGCAAAACAACACCAACAAAATATTGAAGCTATTTTTGTAAGAGAATATACTTACATCTCATTGACGTAGACTTTGTTCTGCAAATGAACGATATCATGTCTAAGATCTGCCAGCATCAGTAAAAAGAAATCTATGGACCATTTATCTCCTCTAGGACCTTTAGGGCCAGTATCACCTCTCTCCCCCTTAGGCCCCTGCGGTCCAGCCGCTCCTATTTGCCCCTAAATCAGAAATAAATTATTCTAGCAACTTTACCTAATATATTTAACAGAAGATAAAAGGTTAATCTCATTTCTAGATATATAAAATATTATTAATGACATACATTGACAATATTGTAGGTTAATGACATTGGAAGATATAACCTGAAATTTATCAACTACAACCTAGCTACTTTGCAGACACTAAAATCAGTATAATGAATTGAAATCAATGTACAAGATCTGACCCAAGTAACACAAAAACTTATATAGTGAGCACCATAAGTCTTACCCCCCCCCCCCCTATCTAACTCGTTACTGGAGTCTTGTTAGGAAAATCGACGAGACACGTCGATTTTTGATTTTTACAATGTACATTTTTGTATAAATAGTTTACCCTTATTTTCATCCCTTACTGGAGGGGAGCTACCCTTTCGAAACATTTAAATGGCATGGGGTGGTGAATGATAGCTCATTTGAAAGAGGGTTTTATTCTCTATTTAACCGTGTAAAAAAATTTGAAATTTGCTTAATTAATTCTCGACTAATTGTTGTTTCAGAATAACGGAAATTAACGTAGCGCACTCATCCTTAGAATTAAAATTTGTTATTGTTATTTTTAAACAATAATAAATCAACACGTAATGAAGCAAATTTCAAAATTTTTTGCACGGTTGAATAGAAAATAAAACTCCCTTTCAAATGAGCTATCACTCACTACCCCATGCTATTTAAATTTTTCGAAAGGGTTGCTACCCTCCAGTAAGGGATGAAATTAAGGGTAAAATAATCATGCAAAAATGTACACTGTAGAAATCAAAAATCGACTTGTGTCGGCGATTTTCCTAACAAGACCCCAGTAACGAGTTAGTTAGGGGGGTAAGACTTATGATGCTCACTGTATAAGGGTTATATCGACGTTGCAACATTGTTTCTTAAAACTCAACAACTTACATATTCTAATATACTATACCGTTATTATATATTATTATGCGACTTTTGGTGGATATACAACCTAATAGTATACGTTTTACCGTAGTTGCTACTCCAGTTAAAATTAACTTATAACTTTATAAAAAGATAATGTTAATAGGTAATTACAAATGGATATAAAAACGTTAAGAGTTGATATGTCATAATATAATTTGGTTTTATCTATAGATTATTATTTATATATCTAATAAAGACCAATAGGTATAAACATTACAGAGTTACTTCTTACAAAATGACATTTACATCATAAATATCTTACTAATAGCAATTAGGTAAACCTTATTATTAAACTTACATTTTGTCTAAAAACTTGGTGTAAACTACCTAAATTCTCTGACGAAACAAATTTTATGCAGTAACATTTAATTATAGTTTGTAAAAATTAATGCGCCTTATCATTTTCCTAAAATAATGGTTTTAAAATTTATTTGAAAAATTACGAAAATAAAAAAAAACTTTAAAAATATTTTAAAATAATTGTTATTTTAAATAAAACATATTAATATAACCCTATTTTGTCTATGCAATTATAATGCAGAATGAGATCCAAATTTCATTTTTTGTTTATTTTTTACCAACATGGCATGGAAAGGTTGTGTTCCTTTTTACCGAATAAAATCTTATGACGAAAAAGTTGTAATTAATACATGTAAACACCACGTTAATATTATTTAATTTATTATTTTATAACATATTCTTTCGTTGCTTTAATGTGCACGTCATATGGTTATTTTAACTTAATTATGTAAGTTTAATTTGCATGTATCATATTATTTATTACTAGAGAGCGGAATATATGCAAAATGCATATATATTCATTTTTTGCATATTTTACCAAAGTTCAGAAAATATTGCATATTTTTCCAAAATTCAGAAAATATTGCATATTTTACCAAAGTTCAGAAAATTTAAGAAAATATTGCATATTTTCAAAAAAAAAATGTATTACTATACTGTGCAAATCAAAAACTGTTTTAACAGATTATACAGATATATTTGAAATATAGACCTTTTAAATTTTTGTATTTGTTTTTAAGTGTCACTTCTTGTAAATTCTTGTTAATTAGTTCTTGGAGGGTGGCATGCACTGGGTTTTTACCTTCTTAAGAGATTAAGCCCATTAAGGTAATTGTTAATAGATGGTATTTACACAGATAAAGTATTACCTAAAATGCAATAAAACGGTTTATATAAAATTCTCAGTAATTTATTGTAACCAATCTACCCTAACATCGGAATATTTTGAATGTTTTTCATTCAGATTAATGAGATAGTATCCTCGTTATTTGCCTAGTGAAAAGTCTTGTAATAATTTGTTGTTTTAAAAGTGTCCTAAAATGTCGAGAATTTCTTCGTGGATTAATAACTTTCCAGAGTTGGAAATCAATGGGGATAAGGTTGTAAAGCTTGTGCCAAAATAGTGGTTTGCGAAAAAAAGTTCAAAGTGGTTCAACACGTGAAAACATCATTGCATAAAGCCAAATTGCAAAAAATGAAATCACAACCGGTTCAACAATGCGTTGTGAGGTCATTTCAAAACGCTGACAAAACAGAAAGTGACAAGGAGGTATTTAATCAGGACTTGTGCAAAGCTCTTGTTGCGGCAAATATTCCATTAAAGAAGTTACAAAACCTACATCTAAGAGAATTTTTACAAAAATATTGCAATCAAACCATTCCTGATGAATCTACACTCAAAAAAAAAATGTACATGCTATACATATATATATATATATATATATATATATATATATATATATATATATATATATATATATATATATATATAAATGTAATAGAAGAAATTAAAGTTGATGAAAGCACAGATGCTTGTGGAAGATATATGGTACATCTTATGATTGGAGCCTTAAAAGAAAATGAACCAGGTACATCATATTTAATTGCATCAAGTCAGTTAGAAAAAACTAACAATACAACTGTTACTTGATTTATTCAACAATCTCTAGCAGAATTTTTTTTACCAAATCAAATTTCCTCAGAGAAGTTCTTAGTGTTTTTGTCTGACGCAGCACCATATATGATAAAAGTAGGGCAGAACTTAAAAATATTTTATCCAAATATGGTCCACGTTACTTGTCTTCTCTATGGAATAAACTTAGTTGCAGAAACTGTGAGAACAGAATATCCCTTGGTTAACAAGCTAATTTCGAATGTGAAAAAAATATTTTTAAAAGTCCCTTTAAGAGTGCAGTTGTATAAAGAGAGAATGGTAGGGGTATGTTTGCCCCCGGAACCCGTAATTACGCGATGGGGGACATGGATTAAAGCAGCTATATTCTATGCAGAAAATTTTAAAGCAATTAAGGATTTAATTTTGGATATAGAAGACAATTCACAATGTGTAGTGCAAAGTAAAGAATTGTTAAAAAATCCCCTTGTGCCTAAGCAACTTGTGTTTATAAAGGTTAATTTTAGTTTTTTACCTGATGTAATAACTTCATTGGAAAAGAAAAATTTAAGTTTAATCGAATCAACAAATTTTATTGCAACAGTTTCCGATAAATGTAACAATGTTCCTGGTGACATAAGCCTTAAGATTAGAAAAAAATTAAATACAACTTTATTAAAGAATGAAGGGTTCAATGAAATAAGGGAAGTGAAAAACATTTTTGAGGGAAAATTTTCCAAAGAAGTTTTACGTTGGCCCTGTACATTACTTCCAAAATTACGGTATTGTCCTATTACTTCGGTAGATGTTGAAAGGACCTTTTCTATATCAAAACATATTTTTACAGACAGAAGACAAAAATTTGTAATAGAAAATTTCGAAAAATATTTAATTATAAATTCCTATTATAATATTACTATTTAATATTTTTATACTATTCTATACTTGACTTCTACTAGTTTTTGTGTTTCGTTTGTTTTAAATAAATTTTTATATTACATATTTTCTTTTGTTTTTTTTTTTTTTTTCGTGTAATGGCTTTGATAGCGTACCAAATTAGGAACAGCAATGTTAATTAGAACCCAACAGTGAATGGTCAAGTGGAAATATTCGCTAGGCATCAGAATTAATTTTTAAATAAATTAATTAATTTAAAAAATCGCGTCCCGGCTGGAATTCGAACCCGGGACCCCTAAGTCCACAGGCCAACGCACTAACCACTGAGCTACCCACCCCCTACTTTTTTTTAAAGTATTTTTAACAAATATGCATTTGCATATTTAGGCATAATTGGACAAAATAACTGCATATTTTTGGTAAAAACGATGCATATATATGCGCATATTTTGTTATATTTTGATGCATATATTCCGCCCTCTATTTATTACCATTACGTTACTTATAACTAATTATGTGTGTTTTAATCAAAAGTCGTTTACCAGTGAGTAATAACTGTCAAAAACTAAATATATTTTTATAGGTTATGTAGATGTGCTGTGTTTACTGTTTATGTTATGTTGATAATGGGGTGTTAATACACTGCGACCTAAAAGATCTATTGTGCCCCCTTCTGTCGCCACTGCACTAAGGAAATGTCTCAATGCCTATAGCGACCCTTCCAATCCTATTTTCTCAAGGAAGTGTAGGATTTGAAGTGGCTTCAAGTTAGGGTGTTTACTGTTTACTAACATTAATATTAAAATTATTTGCAATCGTTTAGGAGTATTTTCTAATATTGATCTGCAAGGATTAATAGAGAAAGGATCAAATTAAAAGTACTTATTGTATGCCATAGGGTTTTCAAATAATAAAATACCATTGGGTTTTGGTCCCATAATATCTATATTTATTTTTCTGAGAGTTTGCAATAAGGTTCTTGCATTATTGGTATCTGTTTACTTTTAATTGTGCATATAATTATTCTCACTAATTTATTTACAATTTTATGTGGTAATTAACCTACTTTATTTTTTGTTATTGACCTTATTTTTAGTTATTGGTCCCTTTTTCATGTCAATTTCTATGTTGCAATATTTCTTGGTCTTTATTAGTTGTTTCTTTTTATGACTATTTCAAAAAGTATTGCAAGAAGCACAATTCCTAATATAACTGTTGAAAACAACGGATGGTTTTATTGTATGGGTAGGTACTGCGGATCTATGTTTGAAATATTCTCAATTTTTCTTATTTTTTGAAGTTCTTTGATGCATCCAGTTTAAATAGTTTTTTACATATATAAGAGCCACCTTTTTATCGGATACATGATAATTATCTTCTAAAATTTATAAAGCAGTTATTTCTAACTCCTAACCTCAGAAAGATAATAATATATTTTAGGAATAAATTATTATACACATTTAACCACTGTTTAACTTCTATAGTAACGGTGTATTATGTAGGTGGAGTTTGTAGTAGATTGCAAGCTATCGAATATTAGGTACCACAGGGATCTATACTGGGTCCTATTCTTTTTACCATATATATAAATGATTTGTTTTCACAGGGAAGTATAGGAAACATAACTGGGTTTGCGGATGACACAGCTATTTTCTATTCTGACGATAGCTGGAATAACCTAAAAACTAAAGCGGAACAAGACTTTCTAATTATTAAATAATTTTTGAATAAAAAATTATTGACTGTAAATATAGAGAAAACACATTGTTTACCATTTAGCTGCAATTCATATGGTGCACCACTATTTGATCACCTAAAATTTACTGATGGCGGGGCTCTTTTTTCATTTAAAATAAAAAAAAATTAAATTCCTTGGAGTAATAATAGACCCTTATTTAAAATGGAACCGACACATATCCTACACGGTAAATAAACTATGCAGTATTTTGTATAAATTCAAATTTTTAAAAGATATTTTACCATTACACCATCTTAAATCCCTTTATTGTGCTCTAATTGAAAGCCATCTTCGGTATGCAATCACTGTGTGGGGTGCAGCTTTGAAAACACACCTTCACTCTTTAGAAGTCACACAAAGGCGATTTCTAAAGTTAATTTATTTAAAAAAAAAACTAGATATCCTACAGAAACCTTGTATACCGAAACAAAAATAATGGATATAAGACAATTGTATTTTTTTTGCTGTAGCAACAAATATCATATTCGTAAATCTGAAGTATATCATGAATATAATACTAGACAAAAATGTCGTTATTTAGCTCCATTGATGTTTAAAGTGGTTTCACAGAAATCATTTTCCTATTTCGCACCCAAACTGTACAATATAATTCCTAAGAGCATTCAAACGGAATCAAACTTGCATACTTTTAAAAAAAGACTAAAACAATTTATTTTAGCTAACTCTCGCAGTATGATCCATGGATATTTGGAAAATTATTATCTTTTAAAAAATGATTGTGCATGTTTTTAAGTTTTTAAGATTTTAGGTTTTTAAAGTTTTTTATAATAAAATAATAAAAAAAAAATAATAAAATTAAAAATTAAAAAATGCTAATATAATTTATAGTACCAACATTATGTTACATTTTTAATTTATTTATGTTTAAATCGATTTTAGTAGTTTATGTTACTTTTAAATATATTTCTTTTTTTTTTTTTTTTTTTTTTCGAAACAAGCGTTTATGCGCTTATCGAGTATATTTTATTCACAGATACCGATTTTTTAAATTTGTATAATAATACTTTGTAATTATAATTATTATTGTATTTTTTTTTTGTTAATAAATTATTATTAAACAAAAGAACCACTGAAGCAGTTTGTATTAGTTTTATTAACCATATAATAATTTTCTGGATAATCATAATAGTAACTACAGTTTACAACGGTATTACAACTGTATTATTAAGTAAATATGTATGTATTTAAAGTAGTTGTAATTTTAAAGTTATAGAAACGTTATAAAAACTACATGTATTGTAAATTTTAAAACAATTTAATTTAATTATACGTTTCTTATAAACTAACGTTGCTACAACTCTAGTTAAATATTACTCAATAACTTCTAACAAAAACATAGTACTATTAGTTTCTACACTATTAAAAAGTTGTATATCAGTTTTAAAATTTTTATTTATTTACTGTGTCGTATGCGTGTGTTTTTTAACGTTTTAATCAATTATACCAACATTGTGTGTTACTTGGGGATTTACTTCAATAATTATGAAACGAAAAAACTCACTTGAGGACCTCTTTTACAAGCGCACTGTGTATTTTCCTCTCCAGGCAATTGAACGTAGGTGTCCACAATGGAGTAACTATAATCCAAACTAGGATTGATGTTATTTGACATATCTTGTCCTAAAAATCGTCATACATTCGATTGTTTTAATTTTTTAAATAATCATAATTTTGCTTACCAGGGAAACCACGTGGTCCTATTGGTCCAGGTGGACCTGGTGGTCCCATGGGACCTGGTGGTCCAGATGCAAAGCTGGATAAACGAATTGCGGTACTAAGAGCTGCTACCTCATTTAACAAAAGAATCAGAGTTTATAAATATGTCATGTAGGATTTGATGTCATACAATAGTTTCTTGTTTTTATTATTTACCATAGCCCTATTATTTACCTAATGTGGTTTTTACCTAACGGTACTTATCATTAGCTAATTTTAAACAAAGGTCAGAACTGTGATCTCGGTCTTGAACTGGTTAATAACAACTACTGTTAAATTATTGTGGAAAATAAATAAAATATTACCAGAGTTAATGTTTTTAAATTCTAGAGTGATAAAATAAGTACTTACTTTTTCATGTAGTAAATCTAGTTGGTTCTGCATTTTGACGATACTATCGCAATTAGCATAACACAAGTTCATGTATGCAGCTTGAACTGAAGAATCAGAATTACTATTCGAAACGTTCGAAGGAAGGCAAGTTTTATTGTCATTTTTTAAAGAAAAACCTTCTTTACAGCCACAAGTATGTGTTCCGAGTTGATTTATGCAGATTTGTTGACAGTCCCCGTTGTTTATCAGACACTCATCAATATCTATAAAGTGGAATATAAAATTTAAGCTAACCTTAATAAGATAGAATAATTTCAAACTCATAATACTAGTAGAAGACGAAGGTATATTCAAATAATAGAGAAACCTAAGTGAAAACTATCTACATTGGAAAAATTTTACTTTACAGAAAATGAAATAACCTTAGAAATTATGAAATATTTAAAAAAGACAGTAAGTGGGAAAAAACAAATAGGATAAAAAAGCAATAATCTATATATCAAATGAAAATAATAAAAATAAGTCCTGATTATTAAAAAAGGAGTATCAAAGAACAAGAAGAGAGAAAGAATTAGAGAAAGTAATAAAAAAGTTTGAAAGAGACAGACAATGCTAAAAAAGTAGGTGAAATAAGACATAAATATAAGAAAGTAAAGAAATAAGAAGCAAAAATCGAGAATAAAAATATAAACTTACCCACACAAACTGGCTTTTTACCAAGTTTTTGGTTTTCTGGACTAAACTTGTACCCGTGGTAACAGGTGCAAATTATCCTCTGCAGATAGATGGTACAACGTTGTTCACAAATATTTAATGAGCAAGGATCTTGGTTTTTATGTAAACATCTAAAAAACAGCAAGAAAATGTTCGCATTATTGAAAAAAAGTTAAGAATATTATTGTTTTTTTAATAACAACTTAACCAAATAAAGTTTAAAAACTATTTAAAAAATGTCAGTTTCCCTAACCTAAACTTTGGAACAATTTTATAAAGTTTTGTAACTTTCATAAATAAAAACAAAAATAGTTTGTTTTATTTTTTTAATATATTCAGGCATTGATATATTAATAAAATTATATAATTTATTCATATTTATCAAAAAAAAAAAAATACAATTAACAAAAACAAAAGTTTTTTATATAAAATGATTTGTATTGGACACAATTTGTTTACTACATTTACAATAGTAGTTAATCCAAACAATTTGAAAGACTTTTAATCCACTGAAAAAAAAAGCGCTGTTCGTGGATATAGGTTTTCACATTACTAAAATGTTTTAAAAGATTGGGTGATACAATTACAATAGACACCAATTACTTGTATGAATAATAACAAAATAAGTACATAAAACAAAGTGACATATTAAATGTAGGAACAATAATTGTTGGAAATACATCCAACATGTTTAGAACTGGAACCCGACCCTGCCCTTGAATTAACTTCCGAGTTGATTATTCATAACGCTAGAGATAACTTACTTTATGATTATATAATCTTTATATTTTATGTAAAGGTACTACATCAACTTTTAAAAACCTCGCAATTAAACACCAACAGATATAATTTTATCCACAACTGGTCTATAAATCAATTCTAAACTGGCAAGTGTCTAATAACATTTGGTTGACATTCAAAATGAACTTGATGTTGCTGACCTTTGCGCAACTTATGCTAAATTTCTCCAAGAGACTCTAAAGGAGACGACGGCCGAAGCACCAAACAATAACAATGGTTTTGAAAAAGTTCTCGAACACTATCCAAAGCACAATAGACATTGCCTATAAAGAATACTGGCCCCTGAGGCTGGTCCAACACTATGAGATCAGTACCGCATGGTGGTTTCACAGGTTAAATCACCTAAGATGGCTAGGAAATCCTTTAAAAAGTTAAGAACCATAAAACTAAAAAAATACTGGGATACTTACAAATCTTATCTCATAGAATACAAAAAAAATCGTTAGGCAAAAAGAAAAAGATGCATAAGGATCCTACTGCGAAGAAATTTAAAATTTACCGCAGACAGCGAAGCTTCAAAAAGCACTCTCAAAAGATCCACACCTCAGCATTGGTGCGCTAATCAAAAAGGATTGTATAAAAAGTGCAAAACTCAAAGATAGCATCAAACGTCTGCTATCAACTCACGTCCTTGGCTCAGTCATCAAAGATGTGGCCGACTGGACACAGGAAGAATACAACCCATCTGTCTTCGATTGGAAAACACATTGTAGATGATGACAAAATTAGATTGGCAATATCTAGCTTCTCTACATTTAAATCGCTCAGAACTGACGGTATCTATCCAGCCCTACTTAGTGGAGTATAAAAGACTTTGTAGGTATATTCAGATCCTCGTTGGCTGTCCCAAAAATATACCGACCAATAAATCTGACATCGTTTTCCTTAGAATCGCTACGCGAAATCGACATACATACAATCTAGGCAGATCTACCGATTCAGCCCTTCAGTTAGTTGCTAGCCGAATAGAGAGATCCCTGGACATAAAATAAAAATTATCATTTATTTAAATTCATTCATATTTTGTCCGATATTTTAAATCTCCCTGTAGATATCAAAGGTTTCTTGGCAATATTTTAATGAGCATAAAACTGCACAACTTTTGTCTAATTTGACCAACTTTCTATCTGTTACCGTTTAAAAAATAACAATATTGTCCTTATGTCCTACATACACTGTTTCATAGGGACAGTATTGATATTTTGCAAATGGTAACAGATAGCAAGTTGGTTAAATTAGACCAAAGTTACGCATTTCTGTGCTCTTTTAAGTGCTGCCAAGAAACCCGGGATATCTACAGTAAAGGTCAAAATATCGGAAAAACACTGGAAGTTTTTATTTTCTTAAATTCATTATAACTCAAAAACTAAGGATTTAGGAAAAATTTACTTTTTTAGTAAAATATGTTCTTTATTATTTTCAGCAAGATTTAATCGTGTATTTTGTTTCTTTTTAGACATACGATGTACAACTTTTGTTTTTCTTATGGGCGAAAGTGAGTAAAAGGTTTTCCTTGATGGCATATTTGTTTCAGGATATGTCCTAGCTTATTGTCGAATTGCATCACTGTAACATCTGATATGAATGTCATAAATTTTTTTTACTACTAAGCTGAGAAATTGTTATTATTATTTACTCCATTCCCCTAACGAGAAGTAATATTTCTCACCCTAGGTAAATAATGATAATAAAAAAACACCTAGGTAAATAATGAGAACAATTCTATAATTTTAAAAATATTAACAGAAACTTTTGTTAAGTTAATTATCAACTAGAAGTAGAAAATTGAACATAGGCAATAGGCTTAAAAATTATTTGAAATTATAATTAATTTTAAGGTGAACGGGGAGAAAAAGTCCTTTATATCTCAAGTCAATGTTTAATTATTTAACAAAACATTGAGTGCGACCGGTTTCGAAGTGTCATCACTTCATCTTCAGGCTCGCCATACTCTCCATCCACTAGGGAGTCAAAGTCTTCAAGTGTCGCTTGTCACCACTGGCATGTGGAAACGCTTAAACAACTTGAACCAAAATAAAGAGAGAAATTTAAATTTGAAAATATTAATATTAATAAAATTATGATTTAGCAAGTTGTAAAAATCCCGAAATATATAATTTTGGGAGTGAGGATGACCAGGAACTTGTTGGATACGTTGTGGACAGTAGGTAGACTTTTTCATAATTATAATGTATATAAAATATATAAAAAAACCTTCAGTTTTTTTACTTTGGCCTTCTGCGTTTTACTTTCTTCATATCAAATATTGTATTCTAGATTGAAATTTCAATATATCTTCCACAGTCACCCTCTAATTGTAAATTTCTTTAAATTTTAACTAATTTGTTAACCTTCTTTCAATTTTGTGAATAGTGAGGGTGGCATGATTCCTTAATTCCACACAAGCTAACTTGCTTCTGGAGATCAGATTTGATTTGTAAGGGCTTATCCCACACTCACTATTCCCAATACCAGTTTTTTGTCACTTTGTTTGTTTCTTGTAATTTTTAATTTGTTCAAACAATTGTATATATACTATTTTAACTTTTGACTTAAAAGTCTAATTCAGATTTTATAATATATTTTTTAAAATCTTTTTAAATTGTAAGTTTACATCCACAATTTTTGTAGATGAGCACTGATGATGGCAAATAAGCCGAAAGCGCTTTGCATTGATTAATAAAAATGTTTTGCACGAAATACAAGTTTTTCCTTTTGAATGTTATATAGAATTTTTAGCTTATTCAATATGACATCTAAATTTGATTTATGACCGCGTTTGGCAAGCTGACAGCAATAATAATCATTGTGCAGTATTTTGGTTGTTATGGAAACGGCAAATGTTTTCATGGCCTAAGTAAATTTTGCGAGCTAATCATCGGCGTCGCGTGTTCAATATGGAAACCGTGCCGTTTCAATTTGACATGTAACAATGCATGGCTGACTGAGGTTATCATATAATCGAAAGAATTTTTTTCTCACTATAATGGAGGATTGAGAAATTCTCCGTTCTGAACGTATGAAAGTGATGAGAGAAGTGGAACATTTTATAGCATCCGTAGAAAAATTATATATACATATAACTCGGCTGAGAAGGCTATTATTTACCTAGGTAAATAATGATAATAAAAAAACACCTAGGTAAATAATGACAAAAATTCTATATTCTTAACGAAATTAACAGAAACACTTGTTAACGTAATTTTAACCAAAAGCACAAAAATATATATTAACTAGGAAATTCAACACCGGCAATAAGCTTCAAAAATTATTAATTAATACCAATAAATCCATGTCACTAAAATATCAAAAATGCAATGGGATATTTCCTAGAATCATATCAAAATTTGACACATGCCAAATTTTTACATAAATAAAGCCAGTCTAATTAGAAACACGCTCTACTCTGCTTAATATTTCGAAATATTAAGCAAATTGTTAGGAAATTACTTATGTCAAAATTAAAATTGCTAATACATTAATGTTAGTAGTAAAAAAATTATATGTATACCTCGGCTGAGAAAGCTATTATTTAATAATAGCTCACTTCTCACCCTAGGTATATAATGTACTATTTTTGCACTATCACTATAAAGCACCATTTATTAGTTTTAGATCAATTTCTGTTTAAAAACCAAATGATCAAAAATAGAAATATATTAAAATTACAGTAATATGGCAATTTAAAATAATTTTTTCATATCCTACCACATTTTGTACTCTTAAGTTAAATGTCTTTTTATTATTTTTCATAGTAATGTAAACGTGTAATACGTAGCTTTAAAAGAAATTTTTACCTTTATTTAATGGTATAAAAATCATAGCACTAATAAGAAAAACAAAAATTGTACATCGTATCTCTGAGAAGGAACGAGATATACGGTTAAACCTTAGTGCAAATAATATAGAAGATATTCTACTAAAAAAACAAAATATGTAAATTTTTCCTAAAACTCTTAGTTTTTAATTTATAATAAATTTATTAAAATGGCAACTTTCAGTTTTTGTCCAATATTTCGACTCTCCCTGTAGATATCTCGAGTTTTTTTTTGTCTAATTTAACCAACTGCTATCTTTTACCATTTGGAAAATAGTAATATTGTCCCTGTATATTTTTTTATTATTTATCTGTATTTTAATCTGTAATGCTTTACAGTAGCCAATAACGATTGTTCTGAGCGTAATGTTTTGGGAATGAATTGTCAAATCTTTTCACCTCATACATCACAGAAAATAGAGTCTTGAGAACCTAGTGGTGTAAATGTACAAAATTTGGTTATTTGTATAAATATCTTATAGTTTTCTATCTAGTTCCTGATCTGTTGCTAGA